AGCCGCAGCCGCAGCCGCAGCCGCAGCCGCAGCCGCAGCCGCAGCCGTCGCCGTCGTCGTCGTCGTCGTCGTCATCGTGGTGGTGGTGGTGGTGGTAGTAGTAGTAGTAGTACTAGTAGTAGCAGTAGTAGTAACAGTAGTAGTCGTAGTAGTTGTTGTTGTAGTAGTCGTAGTAGAAGTAGTAGTAGTGGTGGCAGAGATAGTAGTTGACGTTGTAGAAGTAGCAGAAGTAGTAGTAGTAGTAGTAGTAGAAGTAGACGCAGAAGTAGTAGTAGCAGTAGTAGTGGCAGCACTAGTAGTGGCAATTAAAATAGAAGTAGTAGTGGTAGCAGAAGTAGTAGTTAAAGAAGTAGTAGTAGTAGTCGTCGTCGTGGTGGTGGTGGTGATAGAAGTAGTAGTAGAAGAAGTAGTCGTAGTAGCAGAAGTAGTAGTAGTAGAAGTAGAAGTCGTAGTCGTAGTAGTAGTAGTCGTCGTCGTCGTCGTCGTAGTAGTAGTAGTAGCGCACAGCGCTTCCTACTAAGCGAAGGCTTCCGGCTGTCGCGCTAGGCGAATGTGGGCCCTTTCACCCACCTTTGTGGCAGCGTCAACGCCAAGAAGATAGTAGTTAGTGATAGAGGTACTGGTATTAGTAGGGGTAGTGGACGGCCGGAACTATTAAAAAAGCGGAAGGTGATGCGGGGGAGGGCGCAGCGCCTCCCCCCCAATGCAAATCAAGTAATTATAGACAGCGCTATCCCCCTACTGGGTAATACCCTACCAGCGAGCTAGCACCCCACTGGGAAGCTATCTCTCTAATTACTAGGGAGCTACCAAGACTGAAGGGCCATAAGACCAGCGGACTAGGAGACCAAGGGACTAGGTCTAGGTGCCCACTGCGAAGGAGCAGGGGACCAGCGGAGTAGGAGAGCAAGAGACCAGCGGACCAGAAGACCGAAGAACCAGGGGACCTAGTCAGGATTTTGTGTTTTTGATGCTGTTCTTTTTATTGATCCGGTTATGTTGTTCTTTTTGATCCTGTTCTGTTCTTTCTTTTAACCTGATACCCACGTGTTCAAACAACAGATTCATGATGCCACATTCAAATCTTCTTCAGCATGATGCCACATGACGGTCACACCGGCTATCATCAGGCCATCATGAATCTGACACATAGGCCCCCGACACTTCAAAACCACAAACTCGGCACTCAATTCAAAAACAAGAACCTGCTGGAACCAAGCCGGCTTTTTGCGGCTTGGCCGTCCCCCAAAAGCATGTGACCTCTTGATGTCCAAGACGGGAATGGTTCTGACCTCCTCCTATGGCCCTGCAGCACCGGCTGATCGCGGCCAGAAGCAAGGACATGCTCTGGACTGAGGTCCTCTTCTTTCGGCGCTCCCGCTCCTGCGTGCTGTGCGTGCGTGTTGGGAGACTAGAGCTCTGATGCCCACTGGCGGCCACTGGATGCGTTCGAGCAGCGTGTCCCAGCTGCCACCAACGTATGCGACCCGTTGTTACACGTTATAAATCTATACGGGTTACGCAAGTCTCGTTCGAGCCGGAAGTGTTCCCACGATTCTGTTGGGGTTGCTGACACAGTTTTCTTATCCGTGATCCAGAACTCTGATCTCTAGCATGCATGCTGGTGGAGCAACCAGGCCCCGTGCTGTGGTGAACACCCAGGAAATGGTAATGAATGAACTATCGCAGAATGTTTCTCGAGATGGATCAGGGCCATCGAGCGTCCTTCGGCACAAAAAGATTGAAGACACATGCTGGACGGCCCCGCCAGGCTGATCACACGACCAGTGGGACTCGAATATATGCCAGTATTGACCCGATTGACCCTTGAAACCATCCAAAATCACTCCACGTAGGTAAAGGGCAAAGGGTCAATGAACCAGACATGGTGCGTCTGGGGAACGCCGTGTGTTCCAGAGAATCTCAGACTTGTGATGCATTCACCGGACAAATCCCCCCAATAGATGCATAGGTCAGCAGGACTCCTTGAAGAGATCCAAAAGGCCTTTCAAGTTTCAAAGGTTTCCATGTCCCCCATTCCATCCCGTCGAACCCACGCGAGTCCTCATGTGCTGCCTGTTTCCAACTCGCAAAGCAGTGCTTCCTGAAAAATTCAACTGATGGAGGATCCCTTCAGCCCCCGGGACAATGTTTGGATCCAGCTACGGGACATGTTAACTCATGTCATCCAGGCTGCCCCCCCCCAAAAAAAAAGAAAACTTCAACAGAAAAAAAAATACAATTAAGATCAATTAAGTATATTTAAGTCTGGTTGCACAGTTACACAACTTGTCACAATGCGCACAATGTCACTTTCCCCAAACATCTGGTCCCCTTCGGAGTCCAATCTGGATCCCGTCTACCTCACGGCGCGCGTTGCGCACAAACCCAACCTCGCCCGTCCGACTGAGCCAAGGTTCCAGGTGTCTTCGCCCACATCCCACCTTGGATTCCAGATGTTGCGACGGCCCATGGCCTACAGCAACAGTGCCAAGCACCTGTGACACGGAACCTGTGGGTGCCAGACCCACTTCCTCAGAGGCTCAAAGGTGCCCTGTTTTGCCCCGACGCAGCCCTCGAACACAACGCAGAAGGGTACCAAGCCAGAAATGCGGCTAAAGGGATTGTTTCAAACGACTCTCTGCATCTAGACCTCTGTATATCACACTATCTTTCATCTCACGCATGGCTCAACTTCACACACGGCCTGGCTCCATGAACTCGAGCAAAATTTGTTAATTTTGTTACCGACAAATTTGCCAAAGCACGCAGAATAATGTCGTCATGCACAGTTGATGATGTAAAAACAAAAAAACACACCAACTGTTGCGGCATTACTCGCGTCACAAGGGCCCTAATGGCGACATGTTGTCACCCCATGTTTCAGCATTCTTCGCTCTCCCCAAGCAGGCTCTAGACCTACCCACCCCACACCCCTAAGCGTCGCTGCGTTCGCCTCAACAGAACTTTTCAGCCTAGCCCTTCATAAGATTGGCCAGTGGTCTTCAATATGTGGGCTCCATAAGCATTACTGCTGTGCACCTCCACTGTGGGGCCGTGTCTTCAACTAACTGGATGATGAAGATTGACATGGAAATATGGAAGACAACCATGCCATCCATTTCCGTGTTCGGAGTACCCTCTCTGAGTCCGGCGGTGCCCCCAGTCTCCATACGACAAGCTCGATGGAGAGGTTTCGGGTTTGGTTCTCTTCGCATCGCTCACGACAAGCCAAAGGGCAGCATCTTGAATCTCCTGACAGCTTCTGCCTCGCGAGGCTTGGCACACGCCACACACCCAGAAACCAGTGGACTGGCCGCATGACCGTTCTGGGAGCTTTTTTTTTCAATGCCCTGGAGTGTCGAACTGCGAGCCGTTTCCTTGGATGACTAGTCTCAGTCTCATCTCCAGCTTTGGCAAAGTCCCCCAACTGCATAGAAGAGTGATGAAGAGTGGCTCTCATTTCCATCCCTGCGATGGGGCATCTGCGACAAATTCTGTTTCGAAAATCTCCCCGACCTCTTCGCCAAAGCCGAAGGCTCGGTGAAGGCAAATCGACACTTGCTGAACGCTTCCCCACCTCAGCAGTCGCGTGGCCAGGGTTGGCTGGTGGCACACCAAGTGGTTGCTCAGTGCTCCTGCTTGCCGAGCTTGTGCTTGTGCTTGCTGCTTGTCGACTCATGTCGTTGTTTTCAGGGTGGTGCTTGGGTGGAAATGTCGGCGCAGCCTTCATCAGATTCGACCCTTCTGTATCAAGGACTGGGGATTTGCAAGCTTGATTTTGTGGGACCGTTTAGCTATTGCCACTCACTAGCTCCATCATGTTCCACACATCGGGTTTCTTGGGAAGATCGGCCGTCCACCTGCATCCACCTGCGGATGCAGACCCCGAAAGCAGCTCCAAGCTGCAAGTCATCCACGTCGGCAGCGCCTCCACTCTCCTTCACAGCCATGGCAGTGAAAATCCGTGCATACGCCTGCATGTAGCCTCGGTGCCCCACGGAGACGCGATGAGGCGTGGGAGTCTAGCGACAGGCAGCGGCAGCCTCCCTTGCAAAGAAATACGACACGGTGCATAGCGAAAGGTGTTCATCGAACGGTTTGATTACAAAATATGATGGCTATATACAGTATTTACTATGCTATACATGGCAATGCTATACGATGGCACTGCTGCATGCCCTCGAACAATCATGGACGTAGATGGAAGGAGGGAAAGGCCTATTCTGAATTCTTTCCGATAACCACGCCGTCCGAGTCGAACGTCTTGGCCGGCCCAAGTTCCCAGAAATGAACTCACCAATCCTTCACTCCCTGCTTCTGAGACTACCTATATATTATTAACTACATACTATTATATATATATATATCACTTCTACACAAACATGTCAACACCGCGGGAAAGTCAGTACCACCTTCCTGCGTTGCATACCTTCCTGCATTGCATGATGACCATCACCGGCCCCACTTCACGGACCTCCCCCCTTCTCGCGGCCTCGCCCTTCCAGCTGGCCAAAGAGTCTGCCAGTTCGGCTCCAAGCTGCTCAAAAGATGCGACTGCGAGATGATTTGATGGAACTCTGCGGCATTCAGCGCCTTTGCTCGGCTTGGAGAGCAGACGAGACGAGATTTGGAGGTTTCAACTTCTGTCAACTGGGTTCTCGTGTCCCTGGGTTCTATGAAAACCTCCGCTGGTCGGGTTCATGTACATGAGCTGCGGCTTACACGCCTACCTGGACCTATCTCAGAAATTAGACGTTCAAAAGGTGCGATCCTCACCTCTGAGTCTAAGCTAGTGCATTTTCTGACACACACGACGGTCATACTGGATCCAAGGTACCATAAACTCTCCACGCAAGGAACCTGGGTCGAGACACATCGATCCGGTGCTAGGAACGCGGAATGTTCATAGGACTTGCTACTTGCATCCACTTACAGCATCACATGTGCGGCGGTCAAAACATGCTATAGCATGCTACAGCTGCCAATCATTCCGCTGCCATTGCTCTCCAAGTCTACATACGATGTTTCCAAAACATATGTCAAGAACATCATTGGGAGTTGCTGTGTTCCTGCAAGATTCCCTACCGCTACACGCAGTGTCAATGGTGGTTCACCTCCAAAAACTCTTCATAATTAGCATGTGTTGGTCCTTGCTCACCATGCCAACAAACATTGGTGCTGTCTGGCCTTGCTGGCTCACATGTCAGAGTCTCTCACTTCTCATCTTTCCAATCGGCAAATCCCAACCACCCGCAGCTTGAGTGGCTGATATTCTGCTCTGCCAGCATGCGGAGGTTCTGCGTCGTGGCCACCGTCAAACGACCTTCGCCCCGGCGAAGCATGGCACGGTGCGGTGGTTTCGACGTTGACAGCGGTGAAGGACATGGGGGAGACCAGTAGGGAGACCCCCTGGACCAATGGGTAGACTGGTCTATTCCCCTTTCAGGAGGTCAAACTGGGAGGTCTCACTATTTTGATACACACCCATATGTTGTAGGCTTTCGAAAGCCCCTTGAAGTTGTAAAGCGTACGCGTTTAACGCTGTAAAAGCATCCAAAGGAGGGGGAACTAGCTGGCCCCACAGGAGACCACTTGTCCACTTGTTTCAAGTGGCCACAAATTCCGCCTTCTGCTTGGTCAATGAGTCACTTGAATACGGGCTTCTTCCAGGTGTGTATGTAATTCACACCTATCACGCCCATCAGATGGATCAATAGGGATCATTAACACCTGCCTCTCCACAGGCAAGTCACTTTTGGATGACCAACTCTGTGGTGAATTTCCCCCCCCATTCTCCCGGCACAAGTTCGCATTCTTGGGGACCGTTGACCGTTGACCGTTTCGGCTCACGACCACGACCCCACGACCGTCCGGACGATCCAAAGCCTCGATGCTCCCACTTGCACCTCGGGAACAAGGGCAGCAGTGGCGACCGGTGAAAACAGAGTCCTCATAAGAAACACTGCCCGGTTTCTCAGGGGCTTTGAAGAACAATGACGGAGATCAAACATGACCTAAAGCACAGCATAGTTAGGACAGTTAGGAATGCATGAGAACTCTGGGGCCAAATGCCCAAACTGATCACATGCCAAGAAGAAGAATGAAGAATAACAAAAAGAAGGAATGCCACAGGCCCAAGGATCCATTTTTCACCTGAATTGTTCACCTTTCTCCCCTTTTGTGGAATAAATCAACAAAGCTTCAAGTCTTTTCGGCGGCAGGTCTCGACCACCCCGGTGGCACCATGTGGCACCGGCTCTGGGACTTTCTTATCAAGTGATGGAGATGTTGGAGCACCCATCTGACTTTCCCAGGTCCTATCAACTGACATGCAGCTCCCCAAAGCAATGCACATCTACGGAGTAGCCATGCCCACCACACATCCAATAGATTCACTAGATTCACTTGTCACTGTATGGATATTGGGGTCTCCAGGATCGCCCGAAGCTGAGTGGTTCCCAAACGGAACCGGGCGATTTCCCGATTTCCGAGGCGCCACAAGACCGGCTCGCACATCCAGCGCCCTGCCGAGCACAGCTTGGGGATCTTCTCGCTGTAGCCGAAGAAGTACGCCAGGGTCCCGGAGACGATGAAATACATCTTGGAGCCTGAAGTTTCTTCAGTGGTTGCCGGGAGTTGGCCCCATGAGCCTTGGGAATCAAGGCCATCGTCCACCGAAAGAAGCCCAGGCAGCACGTTTGTTCACCATGTAGGGGGGGAATCGGAAGTTCGCCATACTGGCTCACTGTGGAGAAGGAGAAAAACTCCTTACTGTATGGTACGATGTTGTGGTGTGCGGTGGGTTTCCAAAAATGGGCGACCCTCAGAACCCATCCTCCTATTACTGCACTCCCATATGCACACACACACATATATATATATATATATATTTTTGCTTGGATGCACAAACAATAATGAATACAAGTATAGTATTAGTATAGTATGTATTATAGTATTATGCATATAATAGACATACAGTAAAACCTTTTTGTTTGGTGCCGGCTCCTGCATTCGAGGCCACCAGATCCCAAAAATGATCTTCAGTCTTTGGTGGTGTATAGCTTGTGCATCTGGGATGATCCACCCTGCACTCTCAGATGCTCTCAGCCCGCATGCATCCGCATGTCCATTCTGAACATCTATGAACTTGGGACAGGTTGGATGTATTCTTTAGGTTTGTAATGGTTTGTTCTACCAAAACGACCAAGAAAATCCAGGAAAACATGGATGTTCAAGCCCTCTCAAAGCTCGAATCTTGGACATGTAAGAGATCTCAGTCGCTGGCCATCTTTGGCCCATCCCAAGAACCAACCCCGCAAAATGCACACCTCGAACGCCATATCGGAAGAGCTCCTGCATGCCGAATCGAAGGTTTGCAGACTCTCTCGACTTCCACTTGATTCAAAGCGTTTCGAAGCGTGGCAGCAACCCGCTTTAGCTGGGAGCTGGAACTCTACAGTAGGCCTCTGGCACGCCCCCCCTCCTAACCAAAAAAAACGTGGAGTCTATACGTTCCAACAAATGTGTATGTGCATAACTATGCAAGATCAAGGTAAAGAAACAAATGAAACAAAGGTGGACAGATAGACACAAAAAATATCACAAATATTCGGCACCCGCCCAAACGGCTAGGTCTTTCAGAAACATTCAGAAACTAAGTAGACCAAGTAGATGCTTCTGTGGATACATGCTGCACATGCCACAAGGCCATAGCCCCCTCATTAGCTCCTCGCCGATCACCAGGCTGCACTCCTCGGAGTGGGACCGCGAGGACCCGTTGAGCCCGGTGGACCCCCACATACACCACTACCACTACCACCACGACCACCCGAACAACAGTGCCCGGACACCAGAAAAACGCCGGCCTTAGCCTTCTCGCTTCTAGAGGAGAGACGTGTTCAAGAAATGTCAGGAATGTCAGCCCAGGATTCAGTTCATTCATGCGTTTTCTGTCTTGAAGTTGCAAGAATAGGACAACTGCATCTGTCCTTTTTCTGATTCCAAAACATTTTGTATATTGATGTATCAGGCTCCTACGGCGGATGAAAGTCCCACGCCCCGCCATGTGACCTTCCCTTCGTCCGAAGGGGGCTTGACCATCGTCTGACCAGAAGGGGACTTGTTCGGGCAGAACTGATGAACGAGGACCGTTAAGCACACCCAGCTTCTCACATCGGAGAGGCTAACATATCATAACATATCATAACATATCCACATTTTGTCGTACACCGCCAGCCGAAATTGCACCACAGCATACCCTCAAATCCATTCCAAGCCCATTGGGAGAACAAGAAATGAAACCCGAAGAGGAGCCACCATGATGTGTTGTTGCAAGCTCAAGAACCCTTCAGGTCCCTCTGCATCCCTCTGCACCACTCGAGATCAGTGGCCTTCGTGCAAACAAGCCTCAGACATGGCCAAATGGCAAATGCCCATCAAGATTGTGTCCTCTTGACAAAGTGGTCAGAAACGCTTGTGAACGTGGCATTTTGAGGCAGCCTTCCCCCTGGCATGCCCCTGTGTGGCAAAAAATCTCAGGTATTGCTACCAATGGAGCACTGTGAGAGCGTCCGTGATGTGTATATATAAATATATATAGTGTAAATAATGCAAAACATGTGATGTGCATGTAGTCGCATATAATCTGTATAAAATATACATATCAATACATATCACTTAAATGTATGCGCGCACATGGTTTTGGATACTACAGACAGGGCTCAATCTTCCGGAAATTAGACATCTCTACAGAGCCTGTGCCTATTCCCTGTCCTCCTTCCCATGCAAATGACCGAATAACGGATGAGCAGCAATGACCTTAGTTCCGGAATTTGGCACTGCATGAAAATCTCTGCGATTTGTGAACATTAACATGGAAAATGGACCTTCTGAAAGGTTTTCTTTTGAAAAGGATCATATTTATGAGACCATGTTACATGTTCTATGTCAAACTTATGACCAGGCTAGCGGCTAGTCAACCGGAGTTGCATCAATTGAATGAACAACCCCCCATGTCGCAGGGGACGTCCGTCTCATAAAACACCGAGGCCGGCACGGGACCATAGACCTCTGTATGAAGTCGCTGTAGCAAGTCCTCGCGCACTTTCGCGCTGCTGGCACTAGAGCGGCTGAAATGAATACCTTCAAACAAAGAAAATCAGGAAGTCCAACAACCTGCATTGTTCGTTGTTGAAACGGGCGCACTTGACTGTGTAAAGCATTACCCGGTGTGACGGGTTTCATATGCGAGGATCCGCGACTCCAACTGAAGTTTCTGTTATGCATACTGACAATTGACATACGGTTGCTTGACGAGAGTCCTCCGGCAAGTTCTTGAAGGCTGCCTGATCTGCACTTTCTCCCAGTCAATGGTTTGGCAGCTTGGCGGAATCTGACTCGACTAGAGCTTCCCTACAGCCAGTGTTCAGTCATTGACCAGATGGTGAACCGCAAACTCCAATTCCAAAGTAAAATGGTTGGAGGTGTAAAACATTAAAACATAGTGCAAACCCATGTGCAACACAGATGCAGGTTCACCCCAAAGGGTCCTATAATTACGCCAGCATAGTCCTCCTATACTTGAAGTAAAAACCCCAATAGCTCTCGCTATCTGAAGAAAAAAATCTAGAATCTAGAATCAATATTATATGTGCATTATATATATATATGTGTGTATAGTATGCGTGTGTATCTCTCTAGTGTAAAAAATATACATATATATATATGTGTGTGTGTGACATGTGTATCAATTTGGGGAGAATGTGTGACATGTGTATCAATTTGGGGAGAATGCACCCTCAGGGGGGCCAAAAAAAACACGCCCATTCTCCACCAGTCTCCACATCTGCCAGTGACCACATCTGCTTCGTGCAGCTTCTTTCGCTCCAACGCCCGGGTGGACCTGAGAAGTCGCGCGCTGGAAACCGCGCAGTCGCCGTGGTGAGACTCAAAGCCAGAGTTATAATAAGGGAAGCGGATGAAGAGAGGTATGATGTATGTATGATACATATATGACATATGGAAGAAATTTTGAATGATGTCACATCGGGAAAGATGGTGGTCTCCCATTCCCATCTGAATTTGTGAACACTCATGCTGTGTGGCAACTGTTGCTGTTGCCGTTGCGGGACCTCTGGTAGTTCTGGATGCAGAAGAGCAGTTCCAAAGACACCTGAGGCGCGAAGCGTCTCAAAGCGAACCGAACGTCTCGGCTCGTCTCGGGCGGAGCGCTCCACGAATCGGCGGCGACCTGGTGAGGTCTGGTCCGTCCCACTGTCCGATGGAAGTGGCACTTCAAAGAACACATGCAACAAACAGCAGAATAGATCTATGTATATATATATATGTAAATGCTGAATCCATTGTATATATAGCAAATGCCATATTACATCTCATATTGACAGTGTAACACACTTAGACATTAGATCCGTAAAGACTATCCGTCCAGAAGTTCAACCAATTCCCCCTGCATCTCTCCAGTTTCCCATCTTGGAGCTTTTTTGACCCCACCAAGCCAAGTCACCCGGTTCTCTTTGATGTACTGGCGCAAGGCGGTGCTCTTTTGCCTTTGTTCAAAGTTCAGCTTGTTGATCAAATCCATCGCACTTGTCATACTGCCTGGGCGAGCACAATGGGTGAAGATATGAAGATCCACGAGGCACATGGCAATCCGGCCAACGCCGAAATGACGAGTCTAGGAGAAGGCCGAGCACTGCTACTTCCCACGGCCCCGCTTTCCAAGCTTTCAGCTGTTTGCACTCCGATCCCATCCAAACGCGCCACTGTCCCAGCCCAGCCACTCCAAAACTCCAAAGCTTAGTTGGTACACACGTCTTCGCCCAGACTTTGACTTTGGAGTCGTCATTCACGTCTTCGCACGGGGTGAACGGGTGGGGTGAACGGGACAGATGTCGAGTCTGTGGGGTGAACTCTGATGCTGCAAAGATGCTGACAAAAGAGGAGAACATGACCTCGGATGGGCCACCCAGGTTGGTGGCCGTTGCCTCCAACACGAAGGTTGGGGCGGATGGATGTGTATTGGCTGTATTGGAATTAATGGGAAGACCTCCTGGAAGTGAAGAAGGAAAATAGACCTCCCATGATCTCCCGAGTTACATACACATCCATGCTGAGGTGAACAATTCAGGTCTGTCATCTAGATGGGGATTCGTAGGCTTGTATACGACTTGTATATATAATATTATATATATATATAACTTTAACCGCTGTGGCGGAATCAAATAAAAGCAAACGTGAAACAAATGTTGTGTGGGATTTGGCAGTTTCCTCAAGTTGCAGCAGGCCAATTTCCATGTGTTATCCCCATGTGTGTTTCATGTGGTGATTTTTCTCATGATCCTCAATGAAGATCAAACTCTCTCTGGCAAAAAGAATCAATCACATCTGGCATCATACTCCACTTGAGCCACTCACTCTCTCCACTGCACACCACTTGAGCCGAGAGAAGACTTTTCACTCCATCCGAACTACTGGAATAGATTGCGGTGGGTCATTGCACAATCACAAGGCCGACCGGTTGACCTACCTGGAAGGTCCTTCGCTACAAAGGCGGGTGGACGAGGGCTCCAGGTTTTGACCCATCCCCACCTAGATCCACGGCTAACCAGCAAGATTGCTTTGATTTGTCCTTTCAGGGCTCAGGAGTCCAAGACCATGGCGCCCTCCCTCTTTCTTTCTCTGTCTTTCTCCGTCTACCTCTCGGTCTCAAACCCACAAGAAGAACGCCACCAGACAGGCTGTGTCACACCCGAGATCACCACATTGGTGGCGCTGTTGGTGGTTTTACCGCGCCGAGGCCGAAGACGGCCCCAAGAGACGCACAGTGCGGCTTCCTTCCTTCACACCCCAGATGCCAGCCCCGAAAAGATCACCACAATGGCGTACATCCGCTCCGCCGGGTTCACCGGCACCACATCCATCGCCTTGTGGGTCCCCATGTCCCACCCGTTCGTTGGCCGAGAAGGGAGTGGTGGTGAATCAGCGATCCCAGGGTTTGGAGGGGGTTTTGGAAGGGATTGAGGCTTGCCATGGTGTGCCTATCATCCAAGCCTTTTGCGGCTTGGTGCCTTTGAACCACTCCGTTCCAGGCTCTTGATGGCTCAGGTTCCGGCACTGGGGACCCAAGTTGGGTTCGTACGACACGTAGGATGCATGCCCCTCTGAACAAACAGTTTGGTTGCCCACGAAAGTGGGAGGCATGCCACTGTTTCACCACATTCGGTGTTGTTCCTCCTCTCTGCGTCAGGCAACGTTGGCACTTCCACCACAAAACCATACATGGAGGTCTGGAATGGTTCAAACATGTTCAAACGGGAAAAGTGCTTTCCCATGTTTTCCCTACATGGAGGTTCAAGCCGCTAAGTTCTAGTTGATCCGCAATTGGCTATGCCGAACTGCTTCAAAAGCGACTTGCTGTCCAGTGACTGCCGGTGTGAATTGAGTCACCGCCCAGTGGACACCTGGGCGAAGGATGAAACCGCGCGTGTTTTTGGCGGGTCAACACACGGAAAGACACGAACATCCCCTGAAAACGGCAAGTTCCTACATGTTACTCAACAGGGATCCGGGAGCTGTGAGTCAGCAGAACTCGTGGTCAGAAGAGTTTCCAAGAGGTTACACTGGTCAAGCATTCTGAGCAAACCCGTCACCCAGGCATGGTGCGAACTGGACACCATTGTATACCTAGCCAGAAATTGCACAAGAATTCGTCCTGCAAACCACATGCAGAATCAGTGGCTCGTCAAATACTGCGACAGCACCTGCTGATCCTCCTGCGGGAACAGTGGCAAATGACCGTTCCTACGCAAGGTGGGTTTCCCAGCAACATGTCAGAAGGCACAACATGGTACAACCTCTTTTAAGTCACTCTTCACCCATTCTCTGTCCCGGGCAAAGATCCGCGCGTCCCACATGCTCACGTCCGGCAAATGATGTCCAATGTATGATATCAACCGGGGTGACCCTGGGATCAACCGTCCCGCTATGCACCTCTTACTCCCGTCGCGTCTCGTTCGCCCAAGCAAAGAAGCAAGACCCTGATAGATCTGACTCAAGAGACTCCACGCCAGCATTGCACCTCTCTCTACTTACCTCGTCATTGGGATCCCACTCCGAGTCGCTCGGGGTTTTCGCCGGGGCCGCGCGAAACCGGCACAGCCTCGGCCGTGAGATGCTCCGAGACCCAGCTCTTGTCAAAGCCCTCCACCTGGCGGGGGGTGGGAGACCGGGGGAGGCACGTCCCAAACGAACATGCGTTGGTCCTATTTCTGGGCGGCGACTGACATCTCATAATATAGTCTGACTAGTCGATGAAAGGAGTAACTGAGCAACTCATGAGATGGTCATCGTCTCAGCGCGGTCTATTGCCCATTGATTGTAGTCCCCTCCAGTTGGGGATTTGAAAAGCAGATGCAAGAAGGCCCCTCAGTGTTGAGGATGCAGCACGACCTCTGTAGAGCATGGTAGCATTGCTTTGGTCCCGGTGCCAAACAAGCACAGCTGCCAAGCTGCGTGTCGTCTAAACAGGGCGGTCCGCTTGGACAGGTTCAAGATGGCTCAAGGAGCTTGAAACTAGAAGGCGGTGAACTTGAAACCAAAAGGCAAAACATCAAGTCAGAGCCTAGTTGGACAGGTTGGACCTCCAAAACTGAATGAATGAAGAGGTCAAAAGACTGAAACCACGGCAGGCTTCTGTGGGTCAGCCGAGTCACGGGCAAGTCAGGCGATGGGGTTTCTTTTTTGTCCCGCTTTTGACCACAGCGTCATGGGCCGCTGGACCTCTTGGGAGCTCGGAGGTCGCCGCCGTTTTCACGCGCCGAAGGCGCTTCTCCAAGCCTGGCCGACGGCGAACCAGCCACAGCCTCAGCGAGGAACGGCCGTGGAGAAAACGGAACGACGCGCCGTCCTTCCCTGCGCGACCACGGTCGGTCGGGCTTTTTGGAATCTCCAGTGTTGGACGGTGACTGCCCCTGGTGGATTGCTGAAGTGGTGGAACCACCCCAGAAAGACATCCCGTGCCATTGGCCGAGTGAGGAAGAAAGCCACAGCCTGGGCCCCGAGCCCACATAGTGGTTGATCATCACCACCACGAAAAGGAGTTGCAAGACACTGCTCACAGCCTCAGTCAGCATGGCTGGACGACGATCCATCCCCAAGCATCCGTCGGTTTGGACACGGCCTGGGGCTCCCACCTTGTTGTGGTCGTTCAGAATGGCTTCCTTAAGCCTCACATGACCCGGGTCAGATCTCGGGCGACGTATGCTCAAGGCCCCTAACACAGTTACAGTACATGGTTGATGTGAGACCATTCATGCACAGAGGAATGCACCAGTCAAGGTGCTGTGAGGTCAAGTCAACATTCTAGCCCAGTATGAGGACGGCTGAAAAGTAACAAGCAACATATTTCTCTAGACTCTAGATACTTAGCCAGACTTAGTCCTCTATGCCGCAGTCTGATGACCCTGCATCTTGAGGCTTCCCCTGTCAGATTAGTTTCAGCTGTAAAGGGTGCCAACGTGCCGCCTGCCCCCCCCCCCACGAACGCGCCGCACGGTGCCTCACGATGGACGAGCGGTCTGCCACCTTGAAAATCCGCAGCAAGCGAAGGACGCGCAGGAGACCTCGGACGAAGGCCGAAGGCGAAGCTCGGGAAGAGGGCAGGAAGTGGACGCAGACCTCGACGCGCCCGAAAAAGAAAAGGGGGAAGACAACACCAGCACCCAACCATCAAGAGCTGCCCATTCTCAACCCCAAGTCTCTTGGAGACTGTTCCTTCCAAGTGACGAAGCAGGATGCGGCCCCTGAGGCTGGCGGGTTTTCATCACCCCCATCTTCCGAAGATGGGCACCACGAAGGCGTCCCAACTTGCATACTTGGCAGGTCTTATTCATGTACTACGTCTTATCTGAATCCCAGCGATCTGACACTATTCATCGATATTCATGGGGAACATGCATCTAGCTGAGAGGCCAACCACTACCGAACAACCTGATTCTGGGTGCAGGATCCATCAATGCCTTCTGGTGTTGTGCAGTTCTTGTCACTGACCTAGGCCTATGTCACATGGGCCTCAGATTGAAGCTGTTCCTCCCAAAGTGTCAGATCTTGAGCTTCAAAATTCAAAACATTCCGACCGGTCGGACATGGATTAATGTCTTCTCAGAATTCGTCAAGTTGGGCCTCTCCGAACCCCCCAGCCTCAGAACCCTCAGGATCTCCATGTCATCCAGCCCACTGGAGACCAAAAGCACCCAGTCGGTGACCACCACCGTGAGGTCCACCAGGAACCAGCTCCTAGACGTCCGACCGAAGAGTATTCCCAAGCGGCGGGGGTTCACCGAGCGGCGACACCGGTGCACCGCTCCACGTCTTAGACGTCCGGAGAGGAACTCTCGCGAGGAATGTTCGAACATCTTGTTATATAAATGACACAATGCCAAGTGTATATATATATACATAGCATGCTTTGTACGAATGTGCGGCTGAGAGCTGGCTCAGGCGTAGCACGTATCGAGAATTACTCCCAGCACATTGCACTCCGCTATGTTAAGCTTCACCACTTCACAAACCACCAATCTACACTTCACCACGCTACAAACACCTCACCGCACAGCAAGCAAGCATATTACACTTCACCTCATCTCAAATCGCAGCATTGCACTTTTTCCTGCTACACTTCACCACATCACCAATCACCACAGCACACATCACCGTCGCAACACTAAAATCACACACTTCCCACCTCACATGTATTCCAGGGAAAAACAACATAGACCAGAACTCAAATGCAAGTGCGCTTTAACATGGACTACTGAAAACGGTGACTTCCTGGAGAAACGGTATTAGCGTTTTTTGGGGCAATTTCTGGACACTCACTAACATGGACCGTTCCCACTCTCAGTCTATGATCGATTCTGACACTAACATTGACCAACTGCAATCTGACTATGAACTGAACGCAAGCTAACATAGACCGTGCCGGTAGAGGTCAACATAGCCCGGTGGAGGCTAACATGGACCATGCCACACACCTCTAGGGCCTACCTGGTGCATCATTTGCTTTTATTGAAATTCTTCATTTTTCACAGATTGCTTGAAACAGACTCCAAACATCAATGGAAGAAAGGAACTGGAGGAATATGACCAGTCAAGTAACTGAGAGTCAAGTAGAAATAAAATATTAAGTAGCTCATGTTTTTGTACTTTTTCTCCTCCTTCCCTGTCTCTGTGTCTATTCCTTTAACGAGGGAGACACAGGGAGCGGGTCAGAATGCGACAGGACCAGGGACTTCGTCGCCTTGGTCGCCTTGCCCTTAACTTGGGGGACCAGGGAGCGCACCAGGGACCTCCAAGATGTCGTGTAATCCCAGTTCCCTGGTCTCCCCGTTAAGGGAATAGACGCAAAGACCCCATGGTCGGAAGGTGCGACCACTGGTCGGTTCTGACACTAACATGGACCAACTGCAATCTGACTATAAACTGAACGCAGGCTAACACAGACCGCGCCGGTAGAGGTCAACATAGCCCGGTGGAGGCTAACATGGACCATGCCAAATACCCGTACGGCCCACCATGGCACATCGGAATTTGGTCTAGGTTAGTCTCAACGGTGTCCGCTCCGAAACTAGACTAACATATTATGCCCCAAAAACATATTGATGTTTTTTTGCGAAAATGTTAGTTTTCACCGGTGTATACAATTATACGGTATTATAGTATAGATCTCTAGGAATAGCCTAAGCCCAACCAAGCACACATGAGTTCTGTGCCACCTCTTCCGCGCCCGTCAGTCCTCAAATACTTCCTGGCAACATAGGTCGGGCGCATATCTACCGCGCCCCGATCAGTGACCCCACGGAGGAAGGAGATGACGATGTCCTGCAACTAGAAAGCGAAACTGGCGGTTTTCGGCATCAACCAAGACCACATGGGGATGATGTCTGGGACGAGCGGTCGTGAACGACCGTCTTCCGTAGGTCAACCGATCGGTCAAGCAAGATGCTAAGATTGACAGCCAGACATGAGCTTTTGTTGGACCACTGGCTTTCAAGTATCCCTAAAAGAGGGGGAATCTCCCAGATCCGAACCACTGCATGGCTAATGCGTCACGAATTACACCACATTCCCCCCCCCGCATTCGCCCATGTCTTTTGCAGCCATTGGTTGCACTATGTTGCACTCAAATGCACGAAAACGGGTTGCCATGAAATGCGGACCCTGTGCGCCGGTGCACTCCATCCTCCGGATGCTCCGTGCGGACCCTGTGGTGTCCACCCTCCGCCCTCCGCCCAGCTGTCCAAGGTCCAAACGATCGCCACTAGGAGGTCTCCCTGGGCGGCTTTCGCTTCTCACCCAGTGGGTCGTCCGGTGGGAGGAGTTTGGAGAAAGTCGTGGCCAAGTGAAACATGTTCAACATCATCCCCCTAAGAATGCCTTGGACCCTGGCTGCAGGGCTCATGACCTGTATGGCAGAGGGGGACCCTTCTTCATCCTCTTTTAGAGGGCCTTGACTGTTGTGGCAGTGAACTGTTGTGGCAGTGAAAGGTCAGAAGCCTCACAAAGCCTCTTCGGAAGCACTCGGATGTCCTGTTGTCCCTCCCAGTGGAGAGTGGAGGTCAAGCCAAGGCCCCTCTGAAACCGGGACCGTGCCAAGTGTCTGCAACATAAGCCCTCCCTTTCAAACTCAGTTCACAGCGTGCACTTCACATTGTGAATTTGTTTTCGAATCCGATTTGGGTGGCTTTTCTATAAAGTGGGTGCATTAATGGGTGCATTTCTCCTGTTTCCCTCTCCCTCTTGCACAAGGGGCACTTGAAACAAGTCGCTCAACTTCTGAACAGCATGATGCAAAACGATGCACTCTCTAAGATGCCTGACGACAGCCCGTCTAGTCACCTCTTGGTATGTCTTCCTTCCAAAAAGACAACCACCGAAAACATGAGCTGCCTTGTGCTCGTATCCAATTCCCACAGGTCCCGACTGAGCGTTGAGACTTTGTGGAAGGGGCACAGGGCATCGGACCGGTCGCAAGACGTCGACGTTTGACCGGCTTCGTCGCTTCTCGTGTTCTCCGCGCCCGTGTTTCTTCCGTGGGAACCTGCATGGAACCTGCTGTCTTCGGTAGGAAGTTCCGAATCAGTTCCGAAGCCACCGTTCCATGAGTTCAGAGGCTTCAGGCTCTCCCCCGTAAGAATTTGTCGTGATTGCAGTGGGTGTTCCGTCCAAGTCGCCATTGCCAAGAATTCACTGTCCAAGTGAAAGACCTGAGCCGTCTGACGATCCGACTGATCTGCCCTGTGAAGCGTTTACCCACTGCCACTGTGTTGTTTTGGCAAGAAACCTGTCGCAACGTGTATATAGGGGACAAATGGTCCACGCGCAGGGCTATGTCGCAGCACTTGCCAAGTATTGCCACACTTTGGTTGCCAAAGAAAGGGCGAGCATCTCTTGCAGTTCTAAGAGCTCTATTGCGAAGCTACATCAAGGACCCAATTATATACCTCCAATCACTGGTCAAGTCCCTCAGCACCCGAGGGAATGTGCCGAATCTTTGCATCGGATTCACACAACCTCAATTTGCATTTGTTTGCCCACAACAGTTCCCCTCTCTATGAACCTCATTATCCTCATTATCTCGAAAACAATCATGACTTTGCAAACCTACATGGAATCAAAGATCCTACCTTCACGCAGTTAATGCAAAAGAAACCACCTCCATTGACCGGAAACATGCAACCGAAACAAAAACTTTGAACCAGCTCCTTCAGATAAATGCTAGCTGCTACCTGCAAGATTCCCCGCAAGATTCTTAGTGAGGCAAGCTCCTTGAGGTAGGGCCTTGTCGCAAAGACTTGTCAGATGGGACTTCCACAGATCATTCAACCTTCAACCATCCCCAATTCCCAACTCAAAGCCCAGTCCCAAGTCGAAGAGACTTGAAGAGGCAAGGTGATGAGGTCGTAAAACACGAAGACCACGGTCACGAAGTCCCAAGTCACCGAGACCTAAGGTCCAGCGCGAAAACGCGCGCGTCTACGTGCTTGAGCGCCACTCAGAGCGCTCCACAATGAATTTTGCATCACTACTTTAGTATGTGCTCACCACACAGTTGTGAAACACTATAAATATGTATATATAAGTATATCTGTGTGTGTCCGTGCGTGCCCATCCCTATCCACAAGCTCAGGAGTTTCTGCAAACCGATGTCACGTTCCTTGGCACCCTTAGTGTACCTCATGTCTACCTTGTGCCACCTTGGAAAGTCAATGCAAAGAGGGGTGCCCGTAGGGCCCTCCGCTGAGTGCCACACCCATCCGTTCGGATTCAGCATGAACTTCCTCAACAGGCTGGGGCATGGGCCTACCCTCAACACCTACAGTATCTGAACAGGAATATGCTGCTACAAGTGCCCACCACGAAGAGTTAAACTTCTTAGAGGCCCCAACTCCAGACGGTACGAAACCCAAGAAATCATGCAACAGCCGGCCCTGATACCAGGAAGCATAAATGCCCAAGAAATGTGCTCAAGTAGAGGAGAAGACATGTGAGACCTTCATGTTCAGTCCGCAGACTAGTGCTAGGGAATTTGGGATGAGCTCCCAACCGAGATTCATTTGGATCCATTCCCACATTCCCCACTAAGCACCTGTCAATCCAATAGCGACCCTCTCCCTCGGTTGTAATTGTGCCTTTTAAGTGCCAAAATCTGAAGCCAAAAGTGGTCAGGTGCCTCTGCGCCCAACCAGTTCTACTCATGCTCATCTTCGGGTTGATAAATCTGAATCTGAATCTCTCTATCTTCCGAAAAGCTTCGTATTCTGTCCCGTGCAGTGCTTTCTCAGACGACTCGGTCTATGATTCGATGGATTATAAATTGATAAATCAGAATCTGATGGACTATTTATTAATGCATAATATGTATGGCCTGAAGAGGTTTCATAACTTCTGAAGTGACAATCACAACTCTTCACAATGGATGTACTCAAAACAAGCTCGCCAAGACTTCACCGAGCTTCTGTATCCATGTCTTTTCATACAAAACATCTCCAGAGCGCAAGCCTTCACGGATCTGGTTGTCCTCGAGCAGCCAGCGATGAGCCGAGAGAACAGCCCCGATTCCAAACAGCTGATTCACGTCCCTAAGTCCTTCAAACGGAGAATGTGTTGCTGATTCACGTGTTGCTGCAACACATCGTGTTGAAGTGATATGTGTTTGATCGTTTTTGCATCAGCCCCATCGTTTGATGTTTAATGGACTTGGCCCTGCGGACAGTGCGAGGTTGTCTCAACACAGGGGGGGCCCGCGAGAGACAATGAGTGAAGAAAAGCATGTATATTGATGAATATGATGAATACCCAGTGGTCGGGTGAGGCCAAGTTCAAAGACAGGCCCATCTCTTTTAACTTGCTAGGCCTCAAGCATCTGCAAGTGAATACCATTCTGGGGACGCCCAAAAGCATTCCGCTAAAGCAGCAATTTAAAGCATGTGGCAGAACCATTCCTGGAATAAAATATATACTGTACTATGTACAGTAAATAACTGAGCCCTGCTTGCTATTCGGAACATGCTCTTCCAACTCGCCCGTGTGAGGTATTCGTCTGTCCGTGTCTTCCAAAATGAAGCCACCGGGAGTGTTCATCTGTCCACATGCCCTCTGAGGTACGGTGATGTGTTCGACACTGTTATGTAGGTGCCAAAACGTCAGGTCCAGTCGCACCTTCTGAGGTACGACTGGATGGCATCATGAATCCAAAAAACGGAGATAAACCAAAAAAAGACACGCGCCTCAAAGCCGCTGGTGAAGCTCCCGAAGCTGCTCGCCGAGCGCGTGCGGTTCATGGCCTCGGGGGTCCGGTCATCGAAAAGAGAAGTGCTTTTTGAACAATTGAATAGAGCAAACACAAAGACACCACACAGAATCCAGCTGAAAGTATGCGGGAAAACCAGTTTGGAACTTGTTTAAGTCGTTGAAAGGCTTGAGAGCACCTCCCCGTCCTGGAAGGGCAATGATCAATTCCATATTCTGTGACGTGCACAATGCGAGTGGGCAATACTTCACCCACCATTGGAAATATGCATTGCGCACACACCCACACAGCTCAGCCAGCTCGGTTCTTGACTGGTGTTGGGACATTCATTTATATTGACCATGGATTTGAACCATGTACGACCATTCGGGTAGGGTAGCTTTTCAACTGTCAACCTCCGGGCTTTGCTACAAAAGCCAGGCTTGGCCCATGGCTTGAGCGAGCCCGCTGAGCCCTTCCTCCGACGCCATCCGGCCGTTCCCGCGCCAAGGGGCGTCGATGGTGCCAGTGCCACGCCTCGATTTCGGGCGCGACTCCTGCGTCCAGAGGGGCAGCAGACTAAGCTCGCTCTGATCCTCAGGTTAAAAGCCAAAAAAAGCGATCGAACACGGGTGATGTCCATGCCGAAAGGCCAAAAAAAACAATCACATCCATGCTACAAGGCGCGCACGACCCAACACAGACACGGTCAGTCCTCGCTAGTACCTAACTATTGAGGTCTCATGTCCCAGCACATCAGCCCGCAGCGCTACACACACAAACACACACCTGTCCAAAGGCCTCCTCCCAAACCTTTCCAATGCCACAGGGCTGAAATCAGGCTCTTCGATCGCGCCAAAGATCTCTCCTGAGAGCCCCCAAGAGTTGAGCCGATTTCGGTGGAAGCGCCTGTCACTGCCTTCCCTGTTCAGGTAGTTGCATGCAATTGCCACACACCATGTTAATCCATTTTCGGATTTCTTGGGATCGTCTCACCTCAAGCACTTGTGGCCACCCCGCACCATCCGCACCAAGTCTC